AATGTGCTTTGCAAGCAGAAAGTTTTATATAAGACACACACACCCCACACCCCAAGAGCTGCTGCTAGTCACAATTGATAATATTAAGGTAAAAGGACCTGGCTGGATATTCTGACACAATAGAGCAGCTTCCTGGTGTGGGAAGTCAATAACTCCAAACAAAAGCCCAAGAGGGTATAAAAACCCACTCCCTACTACATGTGCTCACTCTCTTTTCTTCCTGAGCCATCTTTCTGTCTGGCTCTCCTCTTCAATAAACTGCAACCTTCTTTCTAAAACAGTCACCATGTTATAATAGTAGTAGTAGTAGTAGTAGTAGTAGTAGTAGTAATAATAATAATAATAATAATAATAATAATAATAATAATAATAATAATAATAAAGTAATAGGCTCACTGACTACTGGAGAGACTAAACTGGCCTACAAGAAAGACCAAATGAAGAACAGAATAGAGGCATGGGAAGACAAAGCACTACATGGCCAATACGTGAAAAAAATAGCTGGGAAAGCAGATAATAATAAGACCTGGCAATAGCTAAGAGCAGGAAAATTGAAGAAAGAGACCGAGGGACTAATTCTGGCTGCACAAGACCAAGCATTAAGGACAAATGCATACAAAGTCAAAATTGAGAAGACAGCAACAGACAGTAAGTGCCACCTATGCAAAAAAGCTGAAGAAACAGTGGACCACCTGGTAAGCTGTTGCAAGAAGATTGCACAGACTGACTACAAGCAGCAGCATGACAAAGTAGCAACAATGGTGCATTGGAAGATCTGCAAAAAATATCATTTGCCTGTAAGCAAAAACTGGTGGGATCATAAATAGAGAAAGTCATAGAAAATGATAAAATTAAACTGCTCTGGGACTTCAGAATTCAAAAAGACAAGCACCTGCAACATAACACCCCAGACTTAACAATTGTTGATAAGAAAGACAAAAAAGTCTGGATAGTGGACGTGGCAGTGCCTGGAGACAGCAGAATAGACGAGAAAGAAATGGAGAAGATAACAAAATACAAAGACCTACAAATAGAAATAGAAAGACTGTGGCAAAAGCAAGCAAGGGTAGTACCAATAGTAATAGGCTCCTTGGGTGCAATCCCAAAACAACTGGAGCACCACTTGAACACCATTGGCATTGACAAATTCGCTATTAGTCAATTGCAAAAGGCGGCCTTACTGGGAACTGCTTTCATCCTACAACGATACCTGTAATGCCATTGGAATCCGCATCTGCCTGTCCCAGGTCCTGGGTAAGGACTCAATAAGTAGACAAAATGCCAAATCCAGTCTGAACATCTGGCTGACTGTGCAATGATTATTATTATTATTAATAATAATAATAATAATAATAATAATAATAATAATACGAGAAAGAACTGGAGAAGATAACAAAATACAAAGACCTACAAATAGAAATAGAAAGACTGTGGCAAAAGCAAGCAAGGGTAGTACCAATAGTCATAGGCTCCTTGGGTGCAATCCCAAAACAACTGGAGCACCACTTGAACACCATTGGCATTGACAAATTCGCTATTAGTCAATTGCAAAAGGCGGCCTTACTAGGAACTGCTTCCATCCTGCGACGATATCTGTAATACCATCAAACATCCACATCTGCCTATCCCAGGTCCTGGGTAAGGACTCGATAGGTAGACAAAATGCCAAATCCAGTCTGAACATCTGTCTGACTGAGCGATGATCCATAATAATAATAATAATAATAATAATAATAATAATAATAATAATAATGATGATGATGATGATGATGATGATGATGATGATGATGGAAGGGACCTTGGAGGTAATCTAGTCCAACCCCCTGCTCAGGCAGGAAACCCTATACCATTTAAGACAAATGCCTGTCCAATCTCTTCTTAAAAACGTCCAGTGTTGGAGCATTCACGGAGGCAGGTTGTTCCACTGGTTAATTGTTCTGTCTGGAAGTTTCTCCTTAGTTCTAGGTTGCTTCTCTCCTTGATCAGTTTCCATCCATTGCTTCTTGTCCTGCCTTCAGGTGCTTTGGAGAATAGCTTGACTCCCTCTTCTTTGTGGCAGCCCCTGAGATATTGCAACACTGTTATCATGTCCCACCTCGTCCTTTTCTTCATTAAACTAGACATACCCAATTTCAGCAACCGTTCCTTATGTGTTTTAGCCTCCAGTCCCCTAATCATCTTTGTTGTTCTTCTCTGTATTTTTTCTGGAATCTCAACATATAGTTCAGTGGTTCTGAGATCACATATGCCAGTTCCTTGAGAACCTTGAGGTGTAATCCATCTGATCCTGGTGATTTGAACTCGTCTAAGCTGGACAGGTGCTCACTTACCATTTTCTTGCCTATCTTAACTTGTGTTTCTATTCTGTTTTTTATGGCACTATTTTTGATAGGTTGGTCTGTTTATTCCCTTTGTGTAAAGACAGATGCAAAAAATGAGTTAAATAGTTCTGCTTTCTCCCTATTGCTTGTCACCTTTTTGCCACTTTTACCCACTAATGGACCAATCATTTTCTTCACTTTTGTCTTGTTTTTTACATGTTGAAAGAAGCTTTTTTTTGTTATTTTTGACTTTGGTCGCAAGCCTTACTTCATTTAGAGCCTTAGCTTTCCTCACTTCATCTTTGCAGGCTTGGGCTATTTGCTGATATTCTGACTGTTGTTTATTCCTGGCTTGGACTGGACCCTGATGAAGACTTTCCCCTCAACACTGGGTTTCACTAGATTTGTAGATCTGTTATTTATTCCTAGACATATCCACTCAGCATCCTAGATACCAATTGACACATGAGCCTAGGACACATCATTTATTTCATCTTTATGGCACATTTAGACAAGACTGCAACAGGACATTTTTTTGAAGGTTTTAACTAAAAATATATATGCACAAAACTATGGGAGGAAATTTTATTAGGTCGCTTTTTAAAAAAAAAAACTATTAGGAAGTATAGTTGTGTGATTAACTCAATCTTTGGAGTTGAAAATGTTTATTTTTTTTCCAGTTCCTAAATGTGAATGGGAAAGTCTATGATCAGAAAAGCTGTCGATGTTAAACAAAATATTAAATTCCTTATTTCCAATATTGCCTATTTCCAATACTCCTCTTTATAGGAGCTAGAGGCAATTTTAGAAATTAAGATGATGTTTCAAACTACTGTTGGTTCTGCATCATGATAACTTCCCATTTATCTCTTTTTGGAAATTATACTGAAAGGTCCTGGAACAAAGGGAAATTGTTTCGTCTAACTGTTGCTTTCTTGCTTTTTGTAATCAGCTTTTGCACCAGAGAAATCTCATGCAGGCATGAGAATCATGTACATGGATGGGATGTACTGAAGGAGGGAATAAGGGAGTGTACAGGAATGACTGATAGTCTTCCTTATGATGTAATGGCTCTGTTGTCTGATTTTCATTGGCTAGCAAAGTTTATAAAGCAATGCTACCAACTTTTTAAGATGTGGTACTTCTGGACATAACTCTGCCAGCGTTCCAGACTGTTGGCCACCCAGCTGCTTAATTTGATCAAATAAAGTGCTGCTTGAACAAGAAGTCTCCACTTGGGTTATCTGATTAGATTGATATGGTATCTCAAGTTCAAGTAAGGGACTGGGACCTTACAATACTAATCTTCAAACATTGAAAATAAGGTTGGGTATAGAGTGGATTGGCCATCAGATCATTGTTCCGAACCCACTGGTACTCATGGACTCATGGGCTCAGGCTTCTTCTTTTTAAAATTCATATATATTAAAAGACAGAGGAAGGGAAATTGATTTAAACTATTACTTATATGAAATAGTTCTAATGTGCACCAGGTTTCTTTCTATCTCTTTACTTCTATGCCACAAAGACAGCAACATTTCTTTGTACCCGTAAACTTTATTAAAATGTGCTTCTTCAGCCTTAAATTAAATTTAAAAAGTATTTTGACTCTTACAGAAATAGCATCAAAGTGAGGAATTGAGAGGATTACAATGCAAAGAAATAAAATAAAATAGCACCTACAAAGGAAAGAAATTCCCCCTGCCCCATCAATTAAAAAAAAGGCATGGATCTCTCTCTTGGCAGGCTTTAGATAGTTTACCCTATAATGCTGGAAAGAAAAGAAAAAGCAATAATTATCTAAAATAAATAAACTGCATATGATATGTTCTTGAAAAGGAGCTGTAAAATGATACTGCATCTATTTGCATTTATTGTATCATTATTCTGAAGAGCATGGAATTCATTCAGCAGGCCTCTTCATAATCTGACTTGGAATTTTATTTAGTAACAAACTTGTGAGTTTATGCTGTATCCTGCTATGGTAAAAAGTAATAGTTTTGAGTAGCTGCATCCTTTAGCTTTTCCTACATTCAGAAAAAATGACATTGCAATATCCAGTGGAACAAGGCCCTGATTTAGCCACTACAGAAAAAGCAACAATATAGAATTTTGCCATTTACAAATCAGTTCTTATCTTTAAGTTGTCTGATGATATTGTTTTAGATAAAGATGACCCTTCAGGCATAAATGTTGATGAGTAAATGAGTCTATTAGCTTTGAGAACATCTTCTAATTCTCTTACTGCTCCAAGAGCTGAATATCATAACTTTATAAAATATATCCTTCATTTTAGAACATTTCAATTCGATGTCATCTACAGAGACAAGAACATTGCTCCAAGAAAAAAAAATATGTTTTCATCTGGAAATCTTCAGCTAAATCCCAGGAGATTAGAGAGAGAAAATAAACTCACAAGATTTATTCAGATATTACAAAACTGCTCTGCCCCAGAGTCTAAAAGGAGAACAGGGATTCATTTGCAATTACAATTTCTGACTCTTACATAGTGAAGTCCTATGTTTCATCATGACATTAAATTGTTTTGCTGGGATATACTATGCAAGCATGAGAGCTACACATGCTCACTTGATACACATCACTTTTTTTTTAACAAAAGTGAGACACACTTGAAAAATCAAATTAAGGCTAAGCTAGATGAAGCGGAGTGTCTGTCGGTCATTTGCTTTCAGAATGTGGTATATGTTCCTTTAATAATCAAATAAACAAATAGACTAATCTGCATTTTACTTTGCTGAAAGTTATTTCCATCAGCTTTTAAGCCTTTCTAGTTCCAACTATGAGGTGAAAGAAAACAGTCTGGAGCAATAGATTGGTGAAGAATAAGGTGTTGGAGATGGGAATGTTTCCTCAGCATTTACTTTAGCAGTAAAGTGATAGAAATGGAATAAGACATGTATCAGCCACTGTCATTTCTAGATTGGCTTTACAAGTACAACTATGAACCTGACAGAACTATCAAAAGATGCATCATTCTATGTGGAAAGGTACAATGGTACAAATAATCACAGAGACAATGAGACAATTAATTATTCTAGATCTGTAATTACTGTAGATTGTCATGTCAGCAAACAATTGTCTAGGATTTGGTACAGAAGTGCCAGGCCAATTGCAAATTCAATTTACTTTGGTGGGGTAAATTTTAATTGAGAATAATTTCATTGCTCCAGTCCTTGGGGGGTGGAGGTGGAAGAAGGGAACAGTGGGATGAACCATTTTTTAAACAAGTGCTATAGTTCCTGGTGCTTGTAGGGTGGCATACATTCTATGGGACTTGAAAGTTTGAGCCCAGAAAAAGCAACATATGGTAATAGAGGTTTTGCCCATATTCCTGCTGCTAGTGTTTTGTCTTTTAGAGCCACAGCTGTTCCAGTGGGTGATAACTGTATTTGGGATTAATCATAATCTCAGAAATACCTAAGACATAAAAGTTGGAGATACAACAAAATATTCTCCCTTCTTTGTTGGGGCAGCTATAAAATATTTACTCAAGTGTTTTATGGTACAATTTCAGAAAAAAGATGAGAGTTGGGCACTCTGAGCTGAGAGAGAAAGTTATCCTGGCTGGTTGGAGGTAGCGACTGATGACCCAATGACCTCTTGAGCTTAAGTGGGAGAGATGATAGGGAAAATGACTTGGCTTTCTTTTTTTTTCCCTACTGTTGACTCATCAACTCAGCCCATCTGTCACTGAACTGTGGGCAGGGAAATCTGAGCCAATATAAGGCTTTATGGAGACAACAGGTGGGTGAGTCGAATAATGCTTTGAAATGCATTTCAAACTATAATGAAGATATTTTATCTTAATTAGTTTGGATATTGGATCTTCTTTGAGAAAACATCTAGATTTGGGGGGGTCACATGTTTGGAAAAGGCCTCACATCACTCTTCAGTAACTGCCTAATGACCCGATCTCAAGGGTGTATATTAGCTTTAGTAATACAAACAGAAAAGCATCTTTACATAGTAGGAAATTAGAATGTTTCAGCAGAGCTAAAATGTTATCTGCTGTTCCTGCAGCTTTGAATAAAATCTGGTTTCGTGAGAGTCAGAGGCTGCTCTTCTAATGTCCTTATTAAGTCAAATGAGGATCCAATGCATAAATAATTTTGTAATGTTTACAAAGAATTGAAATGTTTAGTGACTTTTTTTACCCTGAAACTCATTGAAAATATCTTGTCATCCACTTTAGCAATGCAGATGTCTAAATCATATGAATTGACCAAGTAGAATAGATCAAATAGGAAAAAATGTCTTTCAGTCCTGATTATTTGGTTACCAACATGACTGACTAAAGCTATTTTTAAAAAAACAAAAACTATCTGGACACTGATATTAGAATCCACAGACTGAGGTACCAAATTATTTTATAAAAACTCCAAAAATAACATATTGAAAATAAAAGTCTCTGTCTCTGTGAGGTCTCATAGTCAACAATTCTATCCATAAATTAAGTGGCAGTCTTCTGGATTTGTGGAACTGGATATCATAAATCTTGAATAACAAAAGAAGTAAATATATGTTTGCATTAAAATAAAAATATTAATTGGAATCACTAGACTTTAGCACAAATATTAGATTTCCATCTCTATTGATATGTACAAAAATATATATTTTTTCCTTTTAATATGATTAAATTACTATTTTTCCACCCTTAATCCCAGCCAAAGTCATGGCCAGTCATCTGGTAAAACTTCATGTTGAACGGCTGATAGAATTCTCGCAGCCTTTGTACTACTTTCTGGTCAATATTGGGGTGGGTCCGTCCTTTCGTCTTGCCCAGGCAGTGGGGCTTGCTGCTGCCTTCCGCCTTTTTCAGGCATGGGAACCCCGTGGTTTTGTTGAAGTAGAAATGTTTGTCTGTGATGATCCTCTTGAGGCCCAGAAAGTCCTGGACACGGCCCAACTCACCTGCTGGATCACTGATCAGTCTCTCCCCACTGACAAAAAGGATTTGCCCAAGTGGGAAGTACAAGAGCCAATTTTCCAAATGCTTGGCATAAATTCCAATCTGGATGGCACTCCAGGAGGTATCGATCAAACCCGTAGTCCTGTTTTTGAAGGTCAGGCTCTCAAAAGATGGGATGTCTGGCTTCTTGGAAAGGGTTTGTGTGTAGTCAGAAATGGCTCGGGTGACTGGGTCCCTCACCACCACAATGAGCTTGGTGTCCTTTGACATAGAGGAGATCCGAGCTGGTGCTTCTTTAGTGACAAAGTAGCTGGGTGTTTTCTCCATGGTGATCTGGCCATCGAGTGTTCTTGGCATCAGTTCCCTAATGAAAAACAGAAGAGAGTATTTGCAAAGCTGCACATTTGTACATGCCTATCTTCAGCTCAATCATAGAAAATAATGGAACTCATATACGCAATCTTAGCTATGGGGAAAATTTTGAAACATTTGAGCACCAGGGATTTTTTTTAATGAATGTCTTTTGTGTTGAGATCAACTCTTAAAGCCTGGTACATTCGGATGGTCTCTCTCAGGTTTGATTCCACTTAGATTTTTGAGAGCAAGCAAAGTTAGTGAGTGATACAATATCTTATCAACAAATATTATATCAGACCAAATAATTCATGGAAAGTTGGAACCCCATTTATTAGAATCCCCATTTATTCTGTAACATGGAAATATTGGTAAATGGCAGACCAATTGGCATCTATGTAGATTAGGCCAGGATCAGAAACACTGAATGACTTCTCTAATTGAATGGGAATTTGAGAATTACATCCAAATTCAGCACTCTAGTCACCTCTACATCACATTGGTTAGTTTAAAAATTTGGGAGACTAGGAGGAAGGACTTTTTCAAGGTTTTAAAACATTTAAATGATCTTTGGAGAAAAGTGCATATGAAAATTATTCTAATTCACGAGTCTTGTGAGCTATTATTTTCCTATATTTACCACTCAGTTATCAGCACTTTATCAAAAGATCTCAGCACATTTCAAAATTACTTCAATCTAATATATGATTATATAGGAAATGCCTTTATCTCATAATTCTATCTAGCTTTGATTTCCTAAGCCATGAAGCTAAGCATTGGCAGGACCATTTGTTTAAAAGAAAGATCGACAACTGTCACCTGTTAAAAATAAAGTTCACGCACACAGAGAGAGTTCCACCATAATTTAGCTCCTCCAAATTTCCTCAGAAAAATTGACAATAAGGTCAGATACAGGTATGTTGAACATTATGAATAACAACCATTTACCAAGCAATGCCAAAGAATGATATGTTCATGAGTAGATTTACTTGGAAAATTGAACCTTTGAGCTGGCATTTTAGCAGCACAATGATCTTTTTCACATGCTGAAGAAATGAATATTCATTTTGTTGGCAGACTGAAACCACTGATTGTATATTGTTGGGAGCCACTAGGAATGTTGTGCCACAACCCTGGAGAGATTAACTAATGACCTAGACATCTTTCATAAACATAAGACTGCATGGACTGGTGGCATCTGGATTTAATTGAAAAAAAAATTGCCAATACAAACTATCAGGGCTACAGAAATATTTTGGCGACAGCAAAATATTGAGTCATTTGCTCAGATAAAAGGGTGTTTGTTGTTTTAATATTTGTAGGCCAGCGGAGGATGCATTGGCTTAATTACTTAAAGAAGACAACTTCTCTAAAGAGGAGTACCTTTTTGGCTGTATCTTTTAATTTAGTATTCAGTATTGAAATCCATGTTCACTTGGCTGTTTCAAGACTCAACTTATGTTTCTCATAATGAAGATCATCCCCTATCTGACAAAAGTCTGTCCTACAGGTGCTACTTTCAAGCAATGTAGTGACATATTTGTATGCTGAATGGATTTATATATAATTACATTATACAGAGCTTTCATTGTGTAATGTAATTGTATAGACTGTTGATCGTGAATTAAGCACTAAGTGTTCTTTAAATAGTTAGATGTGAGGCCAGCAGGCATCTGAAGCTTCTACATAAGAGTGTGGGAAGCCATGGAGATGACCTTGGAAAAGCTATCTAGAATCCATTAAAAACAGGTGCATAAGCATGATTTGGCTGAAAACATAGAGAAAGTATTAGAAACAGACTCAAGCTGGCTATCCTCCTGAGTCCCTAGGGTAAAAGAGGAAAGGAATAGAAAATACAATCACTTGAAATATTTGTTACCATGGCCTTTCGCAATAAAGTATAGTACTAGTTTTCTTGTGAAATTTATTTCCTGATCTGTATGACCTTATCCTTTTAGTACTGTCCATGGGGTTTGAAACAAAATATTTGAAACTCAAATATTTTGGCCACCTAATGAGAAGGAAGGACTCACTGGAAAAGGGCCTAATGCTGGGAAAGACTGAGGGCAATAGAAGAAGGGGACGACAGAGAATGAGATGGCTGGATGGAGTCACTGAAGCAGTAGGTGTGAACTTAAATGGTCTCCAGAAGATCGTAGAGGACAGGAAGACCTGGAGGAACATTGTCCATGGGGTCGCGATGGGTCGGACACGACTTCGCAATTAACAACAACATGACCTTATAGGGCTGAAAGAGAATCAGTAAAAGCTTTGAGTTGGTCCATCAGTCACATTCAAAGAACTTGTGGCACTGAGACTGGCACTAAATGATATGAACGATGATTTGACCATTCCACAAGGATGGACTTCATGGAAATAGCAAATTTATGTATCTTCCCTATGGATTATGGATTTGTTATCCAGAGCATACAGTATGTATACTTTAGTTCTGAAATGGGTATTACCCAAGGACCTGCATTCAGCAAGATAGCTATAGCATATACATACAACTGTATATAATATGGTAGCTCCTCTTAATCTAACACCTTTCATTCCTCTTTACCATGCTGGGGAGTTTTTATTTGTTGTTTTGCAGTGGCTGATGGTGATTTACTGAATGGAAAATTATCTATAGACTTTTTCAGCTGACAAAGAAAAGAGCAGCAGTAGGCAAGCTTGTAAACAGCACAGATTTAGCTTTCCTGTTGATACCCTTGATCACACTGAACAAAGAGTGCCATATCACAGCATACCGGTGCAGCAGACCCATTTCTGAATGCACTCACTTATGGACATATAGTGGTTGTTTATTCTGATCCTTAGTTGCCTTAATCTTAACCTAGCCATAATTCTCAGAGGTTGGTTTTTTTGCCGTTAAGTATGTGCCAGAGTAAACTCCAACACACACACACACATACATACACAAACACACACACAAAACACAAAGCTTGGTAGAAGTTGCAACCTACAGAATGAGACTCAGTTCTCTGTTCAAGTTGCCAAGTCCCAAAAGCTGAGGTCTCATTTGTAGAAGCAAAATAAACAACATGTACAAACCATACTTTCAGATATTAATTTATACAGTTTTGTTGATTAAAAAGACGTTACTTATGGAATATCTGCAGATGGCCTGTCATTATCAATCCAAAGATGTTCTATGGTGACACATATCCAGAGAGGTAATAGGAGCAGAGAAAGTGTATCAATTCACATTTCAAGAAGCACCTTCAGTCACAGGCAGTACATGATCTGGAACACAATCATCCTTCAGTTTTCACATTTCTCTGGAAGTCAATAATAATGGGTTCACCTGGTATCCACCACGTCATACTGAAGATTTTGGCCCGGGTTATTATAAGAATAAATTAGAAAGTCAAGAAATTAATGAAAGAAAAATAAATAAGTTGTGTGCTTGTGGAACTAAATGAGAGGGAATGAGGCAATAGATCTGAATGAAGGTGGCTTGGCCATGAGGGATGGAGGAATGCATCCAGGGAAATTAAGCTGTAGGTTTCCTTATGAATGAAAGAGCTATGTAAGAAAATATGTAAGAAAGAACGAATTGATGTCAACTAGGTTTCTGTAGGTACATTGAAAAGTACAAATCCATACCATGTAGGTGATAGCTATATGTTAAGCTGGAGTAAATGATGGTAATGAGGGAGATGAGCGGTTTAGAAAAATGAAATATAAATAAATAATAGATGAACCAAATATGAGTTTGGTGGAAAATTGTGCAACAGTCTGAAGGTATGCAATCCTGAGGAAATTATTCTGTTTGTGACATGAATGAGTAGGTAGAAATGACACAAGCAAATACTATGTAGAAAAAGTATGGGGCCATCATCCAAGAATGATGAATGTTAGGAATAGAGCTGACATTTCATGGACTAGTTCCCAGATTAGTGAGAACATTACACCAATACATCTGTGCTGTGGGGCCAAATATTTGTTAATGTGGAAAGACGAGGTTAAAAAAAAACACCCTAAAATTTAAATTCTGGAGTTCTGATGTGATTTTATATATATAATTGTTTAATTGTTTGAAATTTGAATTTTAAAAACTTAAATGTATCACTCAAAATACATAGCAGTCTTTGAATGACTCTTATTTTAGTAACTTTGGTTCTTTCCAGCTTCTTTCCCAAAGTTTCATAAGTATTTTAACTACCTTTTAATATTTATATTAATCTGGTAGACAATTATAAATATTTACCTCAATGAATTTGGAAACATTTGTCATAATAATTATTTCCAGGTACTCCAAGGAACTAAAGAAAAATGCAAAATCCTAAACTCTGCAAATGTTCTTGGGTAGCTTAGCACTTATAAAAATATGTGAGATTTTTTTAGAATGCATTTATTAATTTATTTTTTAAAAAAAGTCTGTTAAAGGAAGTTAAGCAAATTCATTCATCCAATTTTTAGAATCTAATTAAGGACAGATATACCTTCAGATCACAATACAGGTAACATCTAGCATCCTGGGGCTGTCATAGCTCTTCACACTTTAAAAATAAACTTTTTGCAGAAGACAACTGTGTCCTTTTGTATTTCTTATAACCATCCTCTAGAGAAAAGACAGCTAGTCAGTGACAGAATAACGTTTTGTTTTATTTCTTTTATGTGGCAGGTCATGCTCTGGATTTGGTTTTGTCCACTGGAAAGGAGGATGGCATTCTAAAAGTGCGAAAGTTTAGATCTGTTCTCTTGTCATACCATTTCACTGAGATTTGGACTTGCAGTGACTATTCTTTGTAGTCCATCTTAAAAGATCCCAGAGATTTGGAGGCTAGTATGGCTGGCTTTGATTGTTCTATGGAATGCAAAGAGGAGCAGGGCATCCACAGGGCAGAGAGAGTTCATTTCTGGAGTATACATCTCAGTGGAGGATAATGAAGCAAGATTTTTCCACAGCCCCTTATTTCTGGACATACTGTACATAGTTCAGCCAGCTATAGCTTTATAGAATCGAGGCAACAATTGAATAGTATGGTAATTAGGCTGAGTTATGACATGTGTGACATTATTGCTAGGTAGTCTTTGACTAAAAATTTATTTTTGGTTCTACCATTTTCTGCCAGGAAAGTATACACAACAGAACCCTCCAGAAAGCAACAAAGCCAGACATCGTGTAGTTAGTTAGGTGTGGTTTATCAGGAGATGTTTTGCTGTTCAGATGACAGTGTGTTAAATACGAAAGCTGTTTGTTAATGCAGAGTTATCATTGTGGGTTTGTTATTTTTTGCATATGTGGGCAGGAGGAAATTAAATGAAAACATGTTCCCACCAACAGTGTGAGTCAACAACACTCTAAAAAGGAAGAAAAAGGGGGCGGAGGTGGGCAGGTCTGATGAAAGCCACAATTCATCATGGATCATGGTTTCCTGGTGCCTTTGCGATTACTTCACAGGCTTTGCTGCCTCCAGAATTTGTTCATTTGTGAGTATTGTACATTACAAGTAACACACACCAGTGCCAAGTTTATATGTCCATTTAGGAGAAAAAATCAAAGGAATTTTCAGTTGCTAAATAGATAGACAGATGGCTGTCTGGGCAAATATCTGAAGATGATTCCCACAATATTATGATGGCTGGTTGCATATAAACTAATTAGAGAATTCTGTGTTTCTCTGTGCGTGCACGTGTGTGTGTGTATATGTGTGTGCATTTGCATAGACATGCAGACAAAACCACATAGAACCACAGACATATATAATTACAGTGCAATTCTATTCTTGTTTAAACATAAACAAATGTCACAGATGTCACATTATTTCATTCAGTGATCTCATTTGAAACTGTATTCCCATTTCAACTTTACGGATAAGAAAAAAAATCTAAGAACTGATCGGATTGGGATTCTGCACAGCCAAGGTAGATGTCCACCTCACTGAGCTACTCCTCCACCTTTACAAATTATTTCTACCTAAGCAAACTCTTTATTTTGTAATAATAATAAAGTTGGAAGGGACCTTGGAGGTCATCTAGTCCAACCCCCTGCTCAAGCAGGAAACCCTATACCAGGGGTGTCAAACTGCAGGCCCACGGGCTGGATGTGTCATGCCAAAACCACGCCCACCCCATTGCTGGCAATGGGAAAAAAGTAGTGATACATCACGACACATCACGTGATGTCACAAGTTTGATACCCATGCCCTATACCATGTCAGACAAATGGCTGTCCAGTCTCCTCTTAAAAACTTCCAGTTTTGGAGCAGATTGTTCCACTGATTAAATTTTCTGACTGGCAGGAAATTTCTCCTTAGTTCTAGGTTGCTTCTCTCTTTGATTAGTTTCCATCCGTTGCTTCTTGTCCTGCCTTCAGGTGCTTTGGACAATAGCTTGACTCCCTCTTCTTTGTGGCAACCCCTGAGGTATTGGAACACTGCTATCATGTCACCCCTAGTCCTTCTTTTCATTAAATTAGACATACCCAATTCCAGCAACCGTTCCTTATATGTTTTAGCCTCCAGTCCCCTGATCATCTTTGCTACTCTTCTCTATACTTTTTCTAGAATCTCAACATCTTTTTTACATCGTGGTGACCAAAATTGGATGTGGTATTCCAAGTGTGGCCTTACCAAGGCCACACTTTTGTTCCTTTGGAAGGGGTTAATGGTGCAACAATATCATTAAGGAAAATCCAGGGAAATCAGAAGATAAATCATGAAACCTAGATAGTCCTGCATGCCTTGCATACTACTTATTACATGTATTGAACTGACTGTAACAAGGCAAATGAAATGAGATTTGAGGTATCAGGGAAGCAGGGATGTTTATAGAATATGGTTAAAAAAGAAAGTCAAGTTCACAAATGCATTGGTGAAATGAAAGTTCTATCTGTTTTTTAATGTGCCACACAAACACACACAGACAAAAAAACTACTGAAGCTTCTATTAAACCATTGCAGTCTCCATCTTGCTTTTTACTGTACTCTATAGACATTTTGGTGGAAAACCTTTGAAACTAAGAAATCTGTATTGAGTCAGCCTACAGTTATTATGGTCACTATGACTTACAACAGCACTAAGAAAAAAGGGAAGAGCTCTCAGACTACCTATAAGGACATGGTGAGCTAGATACCCATAAAGGAACAGAGACATCATTATAGGGGAGAACACTGACCAGAGGACAGATCCTGGATGTCAAAATCTTTCCAGACAAAGGAGAGATTGTGGGATTGCCCACAGGTTTTCCAAACAGCTCTCCTCATGAGCAGACTGCAAGAACTGACAGTTTTATGGTTGGTTGGTAAACTGGGTGGCTGGGGCTGAAGGATTTCCTGTATGCTTAGAATTGCAATGTGGCTTATGTGGACATAAAGGTGGCTAGGCCTCATTTCTTAATTACTTTTTGAATTACTTTTTTATTAGTGTTGCCTCGTCTTGACACACAATTAACTGAATCAAACTCACCACGTCAGGAACGAAGAACTTTCAAATTTTATTTAGTAAAGTAATGAATTAAAGTCAGCACTGACAACTATTACACTCATGGCCCTTTTATACAGTTAACACAAGACCCCGCCTAACCCACACCCATTCTACCACCCATGCGCCACCACCCACATCCGGACTGCCCAACGCCCCTATATGGCAATACATCTGATTACCATGACCTGCAGTAGCTGCCCCCTAACGCATCCCGGCGCCGCGGCCGCTTCCCGACGCTTCGGCCGCTTCCCGATGCTTCTACAGCCTACCAGCCTCCATTAATAAACGCAGCTTCCGTTTAATGTCCTCACAGTCAGGGTTACCGACTGCGCATGCGGTATGCTGTCCAGGGTATTCCTTACGCATGTGCGGCTCCGGCATCTCCATCTGAGCATCGGAATGGCTTCCGCGCATGCGCGCCAGCCAGCTGGTTGTCGGGCCAGTCTGGGCGTCAGAATGGCTTCTGCGCATGCGCGCCGGCCAGCTGGTTGTCGGGCCGGTCTGGGCGTCAGAATGGCTTCTGCACATGCGCGCCGATCAGCCGGATGTCGGGCCGGTCGGACACCGTTCCATGCGGTAGAGGCTTCGCTGGGGTAAGTAAGCCGGACGGCCTCTCCTACGGCCCGACAATTAGTTTTAAACATTAGCAACCTTTGGAATGACAAGGCTGATGGCATTCACTGGGTGAGTCTCCTTCAATCCTTAACAAAATAATTTTTAAGTGTAACTTAAAGGACATAGCAAAATTGGGTAATAAATGGCAAAATTAGACTGTTATTTCTGAAAAGTTATAAATGTACTAAGGATATGGGCTGTGTTTTGATTTTTAAGAAAAAAAGACTGGATTTTAAAGGTGGACACTAGAAGGAGATAAAGGAAGTAAAGACTAGAATTTAAAAAATTGACTTGGAGCAAAATATCTTAACATCAAATGTACTAAATTATGTGTGTATAAGTATAAACAATGACCTCAGACATTAATTTCAAAAATATCTGCCATCATAGAATGACTCTGTATAAATGATATTGCAGGAGAGGAACAAGTTCTAATGGATAAGATGGAAAAAGATTTAGACCTGGGCTTAAAGTGACAGGCTACAAGAATAATTTGGGAAAATAAATGAAATACTGGATATACAAATGAAATGGCTGATATTTTAATAATTAAAAGGAAACATGACTTGGTTAATTTTCTTATATTGGTATACAAAGGACATCTGTTAAAGTTTTGAAAGACTTGGTGAAAAGAATAGACATAAAGATTTAGGACATTATTTGAAGAGATTAAAGATCAAAATTGTAAAAACAAAAGGAGGGAATATAAAGTGGGTTTATTTGATCAGGGTTAAAATAGTTAACTTTATTCTACAATCACGAAATGGACATTTTCTTTATCATGCCAGACTGAGTGATGTGGGTTTAAGGATCTGAGAATTCCTTTTGAGATGAAGGGGTAATAGTTATTTTTTGTTATATTGTAATCTTTTCTTTTCTTCTCTATTCTTTCATTTACATTGTTCTTTTTCTTTCTTTTTATATTCTGCACTTTATTTTTTCTATTTTTTATTTGTTGTAGCTTGTACTACATTTGATCTGTACAACTGTAACATTTAATAAAACTAATTGAAAAAAATTTCAGGAAGGCAATGCCAAGGCAATGGTATCCTAGCTTTGATCTTATTAGCAAGCAAGGATCCTCTTCAGATGAATCCCAAATCATTATTTGTAAAGGATCGTTTTAAAAAAGGCACTTTCCCTCCACAGAGAAATTTTTGAATCAAAGTGAACAAACCTAAGTAATGCAATTTACAATTATAACCCTGATCCAGAGTTTCCTGAGTATCCAACTAATATTAGGAAACATTGCAACTACAATCTGTTACTTACTGCATATTTGCTCTATTAATCATAATTAGTAATATTAGTATTAATTTGTTATTAAGTATTAGTATTCATGTATTCATCAAGCTTTTTCCAACATTGGCAGCTGGCAAATTGATTGACAGTAAAAGCAAAATAAAAATATTCACAAATAAAAAAGAGAAGGAAAAAAGGAAATATTCTGAGAGGGATTTAGATGAAGCCTAGAATAACCAGCCAATTATTCTTTTTGAAAGGCACCATTTGCTTTCCAGAATAAACTTGAACTGAATCTGTATCGCCACTCAAACAATTTATGAAAGAAAAAATGTTTTTGTTCCATAAGATTTGGGATTAATTGGGAATGATGTGAAAGTCCTTTTCTGTATAATAAATTTTGCAGCCTTTTCACTTCTGATATTTAATGACATTGTGCCTTCCTGTTTGAAAATTTCATACAAACAGTCTACTGTGCATTAAGACAACCATTATTCTATTTGGGAAAAGAAACAGAACTTGATATGATAATTTTTGGCTAGGCCGGGGCAAATGTGGCAATTGCTATGATGAATCCCAAAATGCACAGCAAGGATCTGGCCCAAAGTCAAAGTTCTAAAAGTAATAAGACCTAAATCAGGAAACTGTCTCCAGGAAAAGGTTTCTTGTAACAACATAGTTTGCTTTTAAGTCTCACTAAAGTCAGTTTGCCACCCTGATGGAACTGACCACATCTGTTGGTTATGGCCACAATCCACTGTGACATTCTAAGCACACTTTGCTGAAAGTTCCGGAAGAAATATAATGAGAGTGTGTGCACAGGAACACTGTTTTAAAGTGATGATTGAGGGAAATTAGTGCCCAATCTTAATCTGTTCCACACTTCAAGCAGCAGTGCTTTTTTTGTAAGAAAAAAGATGCCGGAACTCAGCCCCCCTCCCCCCGCCAGGCCATTCCTTGATCAGCAACCTTTCACTGGCCTCACTGCCATGCTAAGGTGGATGGGATGGGCGGGATAGGTCTGGTCCCCCTCCGCCGTTTTGGAGCCAGGGGGGAGTGACAATGAACAGTTTCACCCCGCAGATCACCCGCCCAGGCACAGCCACTGCCTTCTCGTCCTTGGCCAACTCTACCATGACTTGCGCCATAACTGGGTGGCACAAGCCTCCCCCGCTGCTTCCCTCTGCCAGTCCTTTGTCCCCTGTCTTATGGAAAATGGAGAACACAGCAGCTCTGCGCAGGGATGCAGAGCGGAGAACAGCACTTGCTTGCTGCCCTGCATTGCCCCACATCTCCCTTCTCTCTTCTGTTTCCTGCCACTTCTCCTCCTGGCGTGTTTTCTCTTCTGCTGCAGGGAAACAGTTTGTGGGACTAAAAAAAGTTCATTCAGACCTTCCAACTCGTTGTGAGTTTTTTTTTTTTTTTTGCAAGAAGTTGGAAGGTCTGATTGAACTTTTTTTAGTTCCATAAATTCCATTGAAAAAAGGTGCCGGAATGCCATTCCGTGTGTTCTATGACCAAAAAAGCCCTGTCAAGCAGTATGGAAACCAACCTTTAAAAACAGCGGTTGGTGATTCCAATAAATCTCTCTGGGGGGTAGGGGATGGAGTGAGATAGCGAATGAACTGTTTGGAAATTGGTTTGATGCAATCAAGTGTCGCACGCTGAACAAGTAAAATTAAATATCACTACTTCTTTGGAAAACCAAATTTCTTCTTTGTGGAGCATTGATTTCAAAAGTCATATTCAATTTTGCAACAGGGCTGTAAGAAGAAAGGATTTATATCTGGAGTTGCCCCATGTTTACCCTGAAAGAAAATGGCAGAAATAAAATGGAAGTGTGTACACAAGAACACTGCCTTAATCCAGAAATGACTTCCTCTGACCTCTTTGCTCATATATCTCCTCCCCTGTTAAGGTCAATGTGGATGTCTTTGCTGGAGCATCCAGCAAGCAAGCAGTCACTCCAGTGTTTTTCCATCCCCTGGAAGAAGTTGCAGGTCATGAATTCTGCCTGTTTCTTTAGGCTTCCTCGCAACTCTACAAAATACCTGTGGTTTTTTAGTCAGGGAGGTTTCACATCTTGAGCGACTTTGCAATCCGTTTAGATCTCTCACTTGCTGGGTACTGTTCAACAGTAGTTCTTTAACAGCATTCCCCCCCCCCCCTCAGGTCAGAGTAAAGTGCAAACAGGTTTGAATTTACATTTGTATTTGCAAACTGGTCTTTTTGTTAGTTCCAGTAACTGGCATGGATTCATTTGGTATTCCACTAGATTTCTTCCAGTGGGCACTGAATAACCAAAAAAAAAAAAAAAAAAAGATGCTGGGCTAAAGGTGTGCAGAGGGACTCCTATTATTCAAAGTAGTTGGTCAAAGATCAGATTAAAGAATTGATTTGATCTGATTATTCAGAATGACTGCTAGAAGTGCAAAATGGATCATGGCTAGACATCATTTAATATAGTCTTCTCCAACCTGGCTACACTTCTATGTATGGATTTCAACTTCTAAAATTTCCTAGCCAATATGGCTGTTGCAGAAAAATGGGGAGTTGGTCTATATTTTGAAATGTGTGCAGGTTGGGATAGATTTTGACATTCTTTATATAATTCTCCCCTATCCCCAATAATCTTTGCTGTGGGATAGAGTCCAGCATCCTTGGGGAAGGGGGAGCTTGATCTAAAACTTCTGGAAGCCACCACAATGCGTGCCTCGTCTTACACCAACGTCATAAACTAATGAATGATTCCAAGAAATGGCTCATACAAGAAAGTGAAACAAATGATGGCATCTGTCCTAAGCTGCAGGAAGATGTTGTTTATTTGAAAGGCTGTTCTAGGACATTCTCCTAAACAAACAAAAAAAATCCCATTTGTCCCATTCATATCTGACTTAAATTTAAAGAACCATAAAAAGAAAAGTGCAAGTCTTTGCCCCATTTTTTTTAACAAGACATTAATAAACTGCCAACCTTATGTACTTGTCTCTTTTATGCAAATCTTATAAGATTTACCTATTGTCAGCAAGTCTTTAGCTCAATCTTTTATTTATTATCAGCAATAAAACTACACAGCATAAGGAATCTGTGCTTGAAGTCTGAAACTGGCTCCGAAGCTCTCTTGATCACATAAAGCCTGCTAGTTTTCTTCGCTCCACTGAGATTTATTTGAACAATGCCAATACTGCAGTTCTGTGGAACTTGAGGTCAATCTGAATTCCAACTAATGAGAATGTTTTCCTCACCCCAGCTCCTAAATTGAAGTCAACCTGCCTTCTGAGCTTCAGTATCCTATTTGTGTGGAATGTATCTCTCCTTCCTTCTAATCGCCTCCCAATTGTTGCAAGATCAGCCATGTTTGCAGCTACTGAGAAAAGTGCCAAGTTGCAAACATGTCAACACATGGTCCTATCGCTGTTCACATGGACAGGTAAATACAACAGAGCAAATGTGCCTTTGCAGTTTCAGGACTCTCACCTTGAGGAGTTGCTCAGTTTCAGTTCCCGTGATTTGGTGGCTTCTTATTAGAATGCAATCAGACAAATAACCACAACATGAATAGGTTTAGTCTGGGTGTTAGCAATTTTTTTTTCTTTCCATTTTGTATGGAGTAGAAGTGAGACAATGAGTTTGCCAGGCTGAGACCTCTGATGGCTCAGGGGAGAGGGCACTGATTGAATGCCATTCCTTGTGTTCCAATTTGTCAGCTGAAAGAAACATTGATTGGTTCATGATTATTTTCAGTAATCTGAGTTTGGCAAAAGTGAAGATGCTTCTGGGTTGGCTTCAAATGTCTTGGGACAGTTTGATGAGTGATCATGGTAGCTTGTTACTTAAATGGAAAGAAAGAGTGATAATCAAATCCAACTTTTTCTCTCATCTCTATTTTGCCAATAAAACATCTATTTGAGGGCATTGAGTGAATTTAAGGATAATGCAAAATGTTGGGAAGAAAGCAATTTAAGTTGTTTTTGCTGAATGAAACATAGAATTGCAGTGAAGTGCCCAACAGAATTGCAGTGAAGTACCCAACTTATTCTTGACATATCAGTGAGTAATGCTTTCCCCTCTTTTCTAATGAAAGTATCTTTGTGTTCAAGGTTTTGAGCACACATGCTTAGCTGAATCAGAATCAAGTCCTTATGTCACATCAACTATGCCTGTCAGAAAAATAATATCCTTGCTATTATTTAAAGATGGAAGGGTTTACATGAACCAACTCCTCAATGTTCTGCCAAAAAGAAAAAAAAACCAGGCAACAAGAAGAAATGTTTTACAGATAGCTACATTGAACTGTATTCTAACAGTAGTAATCCATCTACTTCTCTACTCAGAAATATGCACTGCCTAATTCAGTAGGATTTACTCCTAATTAATTAACTTATTTTATTTATTTAAAATATTGATACAGATGTACAAAGGTGATTAGAGGATAGGTGGCTATATAAATATTTTTAAATAAATAAATTAAATACTTTACTCTGGGGTAAACATGAGTAGTGTTACCTTAGGAATCGTCATTGCTTTTCAGTGCTGTTGTTAGCCTTTAATTCTGAGGAAACCCCTTCATTATATTAAAGTACCTTCTTGTAGTATTAGACAAATTCTACTTTAGTAGAAAGAGTAAAATTTTCTTCTGAGAATGGAACAATAAGGTGGCCTCAAATATTTGAATGGTCACTTCAGAAGGAAATTTTATTTTCCATACAAATCTGCCGTTGAAAGGCAAATGGTTCACCCTAGCCCTAAATGCCTAAGGAAGACAGTTATGTGCAGCCACATTACCCTGATTCAGAAAATAGCAATGAAGCCCTATATGAAAGTGGGCTTCCCACTCTCAATATTCAATGGGAATCTGTCTTTTTGCAACTTGCCCATTATTCCATGACTTGCAGAAATGTGAACATGCTTACTAACACATGAAAATCTTATTTGAACAAACAGCAGTCAAATATTCTAACAAAACTTAAGACAAATAAAAAGTGTGACTCTACTCTTCTCTCCTGTGGACAGCTAGCTGGAGTCCAATTCAGATCTTTTTTTACATCACACAGGGTTTTTTTGGCAGGCAATCTGAAGAAAATGAGAAATAAGACATTTGGAGGTGTTATTTTCCAACCTTGGTGCTCCTGGAGCCATGTGGTTAACATTCTTTTGATAAAGATGTAACAGAGAAAGGAAGATATTTTTGTTTCCCTAGAGAGAGAGAAATCTGAGGGAGCATAGGGTGGACTGCCTGTATAACTTCATCAAGTTTCTGTTCGGTCACACAGACTTGAATGAGTATCTCAAATACTTGTTAAGAACTATGTGTTCTGGAAAATAAAACTTGACTGATTAAAATCCCAAAGCAAAACATCTTTTTCAGATTCTAAAATCAAACAGATCTAACCACTGATGCTGAAAATCCACTGATGTGGCCGAGGCTGTAGCAAATATATTTATGGGAGAGGATGCCTCCATTTATTCAAGCAGGTCTCAATATTTATATATCCCGTTATATCTGCAGCTTGTGGCATCTGTTTCTATGCTCTGTCTGTCAAGCTGCATCTTATCACAGAAGCACTTCCTTTTTCTACTCTGCGATCTTGCTTCTCCTTTTACCTCACTGATAAGTAACCTGACGCTTATTCTAAGCCCTTTTTAAATTACAAAATAAGATAGAGGCAAAGCTAGGCAAGCAGGCTGGAAAAGGAAGAAGAAAGGGTGCTATGAGCTGCTAGAGATCTCTGATTAGCATACTCAATGCAACAGAAGCAAACTTGTTGCATAATGCTGGAATGTATGGACAGTTTTGCCCATCACCTAGAACAGCAGAAATTCTTAACAAGTGTAGTTGACATGCAGAAAGAAATCAATCTTTAGAATGCACAGTCTCTACAATTCTAGAATATCACCTGTAGTGATGTAAAATGAAAAGCCTTGAGCAGATTTGACATCCATAGGCTCATAAGACCCACTTTGCAAATGGATGTCTGGAATATGAAGAGGATAGCAGAACTGAGCTCCCTACACTACATTCCTGAGACTCCACCTACTGGGATTTAACATCAGGAGACAGCTGCTGCAGCAGTGACTCCCTTCATGCTTTATTATGAAAAATATATATATAAAAACAAGTAAAGGTTGATGAAGCTTTTGAAACACTGTTGTGAAGACAAGGCAGTGTTAGCACCCAAGAATATTAAGTACCCTGCTAGTTCCTCCTTAGGTCAACGGCATTGCCACACTTTTATTGAGAGGGTGAAATCTGAAAGCCAAGCATACAGTGATTTAACTTTAATAAAGCAGGAATACTGTGCTGTAGCTTAGTTGTGCTGCTTTGAAACTCAACCAGCTGCTATTATTCCAAAGGTGACCTTTCTAGTGAAGAAGTGCATCACAATCAGGATGTTCACAGCAAATAAACAATTTTGAACTGCAAACAAATTTCTGGGCTTCACCCTAGCTAGCATTATAGAGTCTATCAGCTTGGCCTTTACTTTCTAAACAAAAGAAACCAAAGAATCACTGTGTCAATTTTGGAAAGTTGAGATGCTCCAAATGCTGATGTTTTCATGTGAAAATGCCATAAATCTATCCTAATAAAGAGCAGTATATACAGCATTATTTAAAAAACAATCAGCAGATATAAAACAGAAGTTCCACAGATGTGTATGGTGTTTACCTGAATGCATCAGGGCTTAAAACCATAAAAAAATAGAGTGTCCTGGTTGATATTAAGTAGAACGTATGGCCAGTTATAAAAATTTTACTGGTGCCCCAGAAAAAACCTTTTGTGGAATAGCATGCTCTGGGATTGGTTGCTCATGTTCTTATGCCCTCACTTTTGGTTTACTGCAAAGAGATCTACTTGGGGCTGCTTCTGAAGACTATTTGAAAATTGAAGGCGGTGCAAATTCAGCTGGCTGCTGAAGGGAATTGCTGCAGAATTATAACTGTTTGCAGGGGCTACATTGGTTCTTAGCAGGCTTTCTTATACCACTCAAAGTGCTAGGGATTTTTTGACTTCACCTTTGGAACTGTCGTCTGCAAGCAGAGTCTGCTCATCCTGTACATTTAATCTGGAAGGACATGTTTCTGATCCACTTTCTTCTGGAGATTAGGTGGATGAAGATTAGGAAGAAGACTTTGGGAATACCTTCCAAAGTTAGGATGTTAGCATTCCCTTCCAAAGTTAGGATGTTAGCATTTTCTAAACAGGTATGACTCATATACTGTAACATTTACCAAATATATGTAAACATAACCAGAACCACTTACTGTATTTTAAAACCTCCTGTTATTGCCTTCCTGGTGGTTTTATTCATTCAAAGTTCATTCTCAGTCTTTTCGTCATGAGTTACAAGAATGTTTTATTTTTTAATTTTATTTAAATCTTTTAAAATACATTTCTCTTTGGATATTAGTTATATTTTGTCCATCATAACTTGTATTTTGAGGGACATTCCAGTTTATTTAATCTGGCCAAGAGGCCTCTACCACTGTATAGGAACACTTATGCATTAGTGTTAGGCACCAGGCTAAGCAATATTATTGTACTATACACTTTTTTGTTATAATTTCTGTGAACTGTGAATATTTACAGCCCCCTTCCTTAGAGACAGGTTGAGCTGAAAGATGCTCCCCAACTTCACTCAGTTTTTTCTTAGAAGTTATTTGAACGATTGTTGTATGTTCTAATGAATTTTAAGCACTAGCACTTAGGTCACACTTGGACTCAATAAAGATTATTCTTCTTGTAAACACCCTCCATGAACTAGCAAATCTATATCTTATCTCTTGATGCCACTAACCTACCCATGAACTGAAACCTCTTCTCTTTTGCATATCGAACAGGGAAACATTTAAGAGAATTCAACCTTGGATATCCCTGGATGTTTAGCATCTTATCCTGAAACCTTCATTTTAAATTCAGGACAACACAATTAGCTATCCTAATGTACAATCTATCAGCCTATTTATTATTAGCACTCTTTTCAACAGACAAATCACTGGAGAGTCAAAATGACTATCACAAATCAATTTTCCTACATACGTTTATGAATCACTCTCTATCCTTCCTTGCTCTGGAAAGCACACCAACATCACAAAAGAATTACATCAAGGTATGTTTCATTTAAATATATATATATTAATCTATTTCCCTATTTCCTTAAAACGTTTTCTCCCTTCCTCAAAATAGCAAAGTGACTATCAGTCCAAGAATGGGACGGCTACTTGACAGACTCATCTAAACACCCTTCTTTCTGGCTTACCCTCTCCAGGTCAACTATCATGATCTCCAGGAAACTAGTTTCTTTTCTGAGAGCCAGAAGTTCATTGTATCCACATTCCCTCTCCAGATTTCTGCCCCTTCCCATCAGCAGATGTGATTATATTCCATGCAATATAGAGGATAGCTCCCATGCCTATGTAGTTCCTGTAATT